GAGAGAGAGAGAGAGAGAGAGAGAGAGAGAGAGTGCATTGGACTGCTAACCACAAGGTTGGCAGTTCAAACCAGTTCAAACCCACCAGCCACCCTATCCAGGGTCACAATGAGTCAGAACTGACTTGATGGCACTTAACAGTGACAACAACTGCTCACTGAGTTTAGTTCTCTAGAGAACTCAGCTAAGGCATACCACAAAAGTATATATATTCTTCAACAGAAGAATATTATTCATATAATTTCGTGTTTCATGAATGTGTCTTCTTAATTTTAAAGCATCCAGAAGTTGACAAATGTCAACCCATTAAAGTATTATTATATAAACTCACGTAATGTTAGGAGTCCTGATGTGGTGCTGTGGGTCGATGTGTTGGAAGGTTTGAACTACAAGGTCAGTGGTTCAAACTCACCAGCTGCTCCTTGGAAACCCTAAAAAGTGTCGATATGAATCGGAATCAACTTCACAGCACTTAACAACAACTACAATGTAATGTTAAGTTGGAGTTCTGGTGTGGCACTGTAAGATCAGTACTGGACTGTGAATTACAAGGTCAGCAGTTCAAACCCAACCGGTGCTCCTTGGACACTGGGTCACTATGAGTCAGAACCGACTCGATGGCATTTAACAACAACAATGTTAAGTTTGCTTGACGTAGAAAAACAGGTAGAGATTTGTTGAGGATGTTGGCTGATTCTCGTCAGCAGCCTTGATAATGATGTGCTGAAATTCGTTTGTCCTTACTCTGTCCTTGTGATGTGATTATTTAGCCCACTTCTCTTCTAAATCTATGTCACACCTCTAAAGCTATAACTCACACATCTCTTTTGTAGTTTATATTGCATTTTCTCTTAAGATAGGTAAATACCTTTTGCACTTAACCCAAAAGCCCTTTGACCTTTAGAGTTCTGGATTATTTTCATATGCTTCTGGGATGACAGCACATTGAATTATGGTGGCCCCTCATAGCTTTGTTCAGATTGTTTGGTCAAATCTTCCAAGCACTTTCTATTGACATGTAACAATGCTGAACAGCAGTGTTGATGGCTACCACCTTAGCTTACTTCCTGACATAAAATTGGGATATTCCACTAATCTAATTTTGTAATTGATTTGAAAGTAAATATAGTCTTTCTCCTATTTCCATCTTCTTTACTGAAAGTACTTTTAGAATTGAAGTATGAGTTTCAATGTTGACACGTTTGTATTATTAACAACATGAGTGACTTTCTCTTTAAACTATTCAGTGTTACTAATTGCATAGATTTCCCCCTGTTGAATCATCCGTATTGTCTTGTGGCATCCCAGCATTGCTTTCGAGAATATTTTATTTAAAAACCTGCATCTATAATGATAAATAAATTTATCTCTAGATTTCTTTTTCGCCACTAGCTGCTTTCAAGTTTTGGTATGAAGATTCTGCTTGATAAAATTTGTTAGAGAACTTTACGTCTTTTCTGTGGTTGAAATACTTTCATAAGTATCATCTGTTCTTTCAAGTTGGATAGAACGCAACTGTAAAATGTTGGAGCTTCATCCTTTGCAGTTCCTGAAACTTTGCATTTAGATCCAATTAGGCTGATCAGACTGAGACTCAAATCTCTTTGCTCAGACTCTTGCTGCCAATCCTGGTGGTTCTTCCATTAGGAGGCGAGTGATTCTGACTGTGTCTTTCTTTGTAATATTTAGTGATGGCTGATTGTATCGCTTTTTGTAATATTTAGCAGCTGTTGGTGCTCAACATCTGTTTCTCCAAATTCGTTCAGAGTTGTGAAGATAGTTTTTCAAATTCTCTCATTTGCTTTTTATTGACTAGTTTGAATATTTATATGTAGATACTTGATATCTATATTTGGATACCTTAGCATTGGTACTCAGTAATTAAAGTTATTGAAATTCAATATGATATTTTAACGGCTTCTCTTTTTAGGTTTTAAAAGGCACTTTAGAGTAGCTTAACTCTAGGTGTACTTTAGCAAATTGTTTTCCTGTAAAATGCCAGAGAGGAAACAAAAGCAATTATAAATTTTGTTATTTGAAAATGTGATCATGATTAGATGAAGAACTCATTTTGCATATTTTTGTTAAGCACGTTTATTCCGACATAGTATTTCACCTGGAACTCTTGACATTCCTTCTTAAATATCTGTGGTAGTTTTTTAACCAGCTAATGCCTTAGCCTACACAGAAGTCATCTATTAGAATTGAATATTAGACATTATACATAAAGTTTTGATTCCAGTATGTATTTGACTTACAATAGGGCTGTCTAAATGTCATGGCAGTGTTAAAATATTGTATGTAAAAATGCTCTGAAACATCAGCACAGTGGCTGAAGAAGGACATAGATTCAGAAAGTTTCAAATTGTATTTTATTTTGATTTTTCAGATTGCTTTCTCACAACACAACACTATCATGGACCTTGTGCAGTTTTTTGTCACCTTCTTCAGGTAATTTGCTTTTACTGACTTTGACATAGTTACGCCTATATTCTGATATATGTCCTGTCAATATGTTAGAAAAGTTATCAGTTCTTTAACCTTAAACTATCATACTGCATGCCTTAAATAGCATCATATGCTCAAATATGTAGCGGGTGAGAGCAAAAACACACTTGGATTATGTCTGTAAAATTATTGTATTCTTGTATTTTTTAACAACTTCTAGTTTCTGTGGAAAGAGGATGATAACTTTGTGACCCCCCCCACCCCAATCTTAGGTTTTTGAAGTCCGTTTGAATGAAACTCCCTAGTGGTGCTGTGGGTTAGGCGTTGGGCTGCTAACTGCAAGGTTGGTGGTTCAAACCCAGCAGCTGCTCCCCAGGAGAAAGATGAGGCTCTCTGTTACTGTCAAGATTTACAGTCCTGGAAACCCCACAGAGGGTCACTATGAGTGGGAATGCACCCCATGGTAGTGGCTTTTGTTTTATTTTTTTAAGGAGTTGGGGAAGGGTTAGTGTAAGAAGCTGACAATGCAGGCTTCAAATGAATTAAATAAATCTCCTAGAATTAAATCAATTCACTTGTTTCTTAAGTGACTATCATGTGTGCTTAGCTTTGTATAGAGTTGTTGTTGTTAAGTGCCATCAAATCGATTCTGACTCATAGAGACCATGTGTAGGGTTTCTGAGGAGCAGCTGGTGAGCTTGAACCACCAACATAGAGGACCAGCAAAAGTATGCATTTTCTATGTCAAGGAGCTTCTAACGTGGCAATACTAAATGGGGCTCTGAATAGAGCAGTCTTCCTCAGAACAGAAGTTATGTAAGCTTCTAAGGGTATTTTCAATTTAAAAAAGTGTCCTACTGTGTGATGGGTCCACTCTGCCCTGGAGCATGGCCATGAGTCAGAATTGACTTGATGGCAACAGGCTTTTTATTCTTTTTCTCTTATTTAAATTACTCAGGCTGGATGAATTCCTGAACTTTAAACCACAGTATCCCATATAGTCTTATATGTATATGTATATAGTAAAGAATGTTTGCCTGGAGCTTCATCTTCTTTCAAGAACTCTCTCTATGGGGTTCATCCAACAGCAGCAACCCGGAAGATTCCACAGGAAATTTAGGGAGCAGTGAGTTTATGGTACTGTTGTTGTTAAGTGCAGTGGAGTAGGTTCCAATCCAGAGCAACCCGTATCGGGTTTCAGAGGAGCAGCTGGTGAGCTTAACCACTGACCTTGCAGTTCAAACCAACAGCGCTCTAACCCACAGCACCATTGTTGTTGTTGTTGTTGTTAAGTGCCTTCGAGTCGGAGCCGACCCATAGCGACCCTGTACAGGGTTTCCGAGGGTGTAAATCCTTACGGGAGTAGAAAGCCTCATCTTTCTCCCGCAGAGCGGCTGGTAGTTTCG